GTTGTTGTTGTTGTTGTTGTTGTTGTTGTTGTTGTCCACCTTCCAACCCTTCTCTCAGATCTCGCCGATTCCTTGCCTCTCCTCTACCACAAGCACCACCTCTTCTGTGAACTGCTGCGCCACCTTCCACTCACCCGTGCACTCTCCATTACGCTGCCACAGATAAGTGACACCGTTGACGTCAGCATTCCCGGCGCCGACCTGAGGAGAGAGCGCCATCAAGTTCTCCCACCATTCGACAGCCCTCCCCTCATGTTCATCGCCCTTCTCGCCCTCGTCGCCAATTTCACCCAATCCTAGCTCACCGTCGTTGTTGTTGTTGTTGCCCTTCACGCCCTCGTCGCCAATTTCACCCAGTCCCAGCTCACCGTCGTTATTGTTGTTGTTGTTGTTGTTGTTGTTGTTGTTGTTGTTGTTGTTGTTGTTGTTGTCCACCTTCCAACCCTTCTCTCCGATCTCACCCATTCTTTGCCTCTCCTCCACCACAACTACCACCTCTTCCATGAGCCCCTGCGCCCCCTCCCACTCACCCGTCTGATCTCCATTACGCTGCCGCAGACGAGCGACACCATCGACGTCAGTATTCCCGGCGCCGACCTGAGAATTGAGCGCCATCAGGTTCATCCACCATTCGCCAGCCCTTCCCTCATGTTCAATGCTGCCCATCACATCCCCTTCACAGCCCCTCTGACTATCTGCTTCCCAATGCACGCACCCTGCGCAATGGTTATAATAGTAACTGACCATGTCCACGTTGTCGAGCTCACCATCTTTCGCATACGAGACACCGTCGTCTGTGTGGAAAAGAGTATCTCTATGTTGCAACTCCCTCACCATCTCCATCGCGTTCCCAAAGAGCTGCGCCCCTAATATGTCCTCGTCTCTCTCACGGCTGGTGCTACCCCTGCCCGTGCGTCTCGGCGAGCCACGTCACCAACGACAGATGCCACGTGGCTAATCAAGGGGCCACACACATCTGCTGGGCGTGCGTACAGGCCCAGCGTCCGAGGAGCTCCCCTCCTCGGGCGCTAGTCGAGCCGGGGGAACCGGGTCTTACCGGTCTGCCGACGTCAAGGCGCTAGCGCTAGTGCATCTCCTGTCTCTCTCTACCTTCCCATTCAGGGTAGATCTGAGTGCGTGTACGTGTGTGTGAGTGATTGTGAGAGCGTTGATGGTGGATACAGTGTTCGGGTGGGAATTTCAGACTGGCGCTGAGACACCATAGCCGCAAGATGTGACAAGTTGACTTGAGCTGAGTTCTTGGCCGAAGGACATATCTCTTAGTTGTCTGTGTGGGTGCAATGCGCCCTCTCACGCTTGTTGCTGATTCTACCTTGAGGAAGTTGTTTTGCCATCGGCACCTGCATGTATGCATGTTGGAAGTGAACTTGAGACAAGTCTGATTGTGCAGTCAGCAACTACAACCTATTGCATTGCCTAACACTGTGTACAAACTACAAAATCCTCTCTGATGTACTGGCCAACAGGATGCAGGGTGTGATGAGTCTAATTCACCCTTATCAGACTGGCTTCAGATACAATTTGGGTACGGTCATGCCTGTGGTTCAGGGGTGAGTGCTCTTATCTTTGTATATATTGTCCTCATCTATCTCATCCTCTCGCTACTCTTATGTATAGTATGGGGGAACACCAACCAAACATGGAACTCTCCCCAACCCACAGGGTAGGTTGGCACCACTGTGACGAACCACTTTCTGTAACGCGCGATTTTCTGCGCGGTTGCAATGAGGGGTCCTAAGCTGGGAAGATTGGGCCAATTACGGGAGATCGAGATCGGTGGAGAATTGCATCAGTGTCCTCGCTTTTTCGTCCTTTTTCGTCGTTTCTTTTTCGAATGGTCGGGCACGGGGTCAGGTGTGTCTTGGGACGGCCGGTGGATTGATTGGTCGGATGGTTGTTTGGCGCGACGCCACGCGCACGTGATTAATAAATGTTGACGTCATTTCTTTTGGTTCGGTTTTGATCTTTTAGGCGCAGACATCGCGCAGGAAATTGCTTCGTTCCTTTTTGAATTTCCTTTTGAATCTTTTTTCGAATTTTGTCGAGCCCCCAATGGCTCTCGGAATTTTGGACTTTCCTTCTAGAATTTGTGCTTTTTGCTTTTTCGCAGTAGATAGGAATATAGGAATTCAGTAATTAGGACTTTTTCTGTCGCGCGGCGCCTTTTGTTTACGCGCTTCTTCATGTGGCTGCAACGGTACTCTGATTAGTGGGCGCCCTTAATTGTATGTGTAACTGTAATTTTGGGCGGGCGCCATTGTAACTGTATCTCTCTTCTTGCACTTCGTCTCTCCCGCCCTCCCTCTCTTTCTTTTGCTGAAATTTTGTAAGCCGCGGCTTGCATGCTCGGATCGATGCGTGGAGAAGGATTACGTCCCCCACGCCGCGGCCGATCATGCAGAACGCAGGCGTTCCCTCTCTAATCCTCACTCTAAGTCCTAGTAATTCCGTGTTCTTCGCACATGCATGCACGCTATAAATTTTGGCTGCGCGATTAGTCAGCTCTCTTAACCCGTCGTTGGAAGCTCGGGGTTGCGCGATCAGGAAGGGTCGGCACACGAGCAAAGTAAGAGGTGAGTAGAGTAGGAKTTGGGCGACCCGACGGKCTGGTGCCGAACGCACGGGATTGACGTGGGCCTCGACRGACTGTGGGCACGGGCGAATCCGACGGGTGCGGGAGGACTAAGCGGGGTGACAACTTCGTGGGTTGGTGCGCGACGACGGACTGTCCGCATCAGAGAGAGAGAGAGAGAGAAGGAGAGAGTTGAGGTCGATGAACACGGATTTGCTGTTTTTTTGTCCCTTCCCCCTCTCTATCTGTGTACATACATTTTGATTGCGGCTCCGGGCGGTTTGCCCGTTCTTATTTTCGTTTCGGCTTCCTGAAACCTAGGCTTGGGGTCTTGCTCGCTCTTGTCCTGCTATGTCCATCCCGATTGCATTATGTGTATGATTATCAAATGTATGGATGTGTGGACGTTATGCCTGCTTGTCTATCTTTTTGCTGAGAATCCCTGTCCTTGCCTTTTGTTGGTATCAAAACTTCGCCCACACCTGATGCAACTGTAGATGGGGTGAGAATCTGGCCCCGATAACGATTTTGCTCTCGTTTTTGCTTATCCCGCGATGGGGGTTGCGATATGATTGCATCTTGCATAATCGACGATCCGAAGTCTGGTCCCGTGAACGCCGCGCGAGAACACGTGTAAACGCGATCCGAGTTGCGCCCTTACACGCGTTCCCGTGCGTCGATTCGCTCACCCGAAAAGGATTCACGTCGGAACCGTCATCCCGTACGAGCACGCTGAGGCGCCACTGAGTCTGTCTGCCCTACAAGTACTCGTGCGTGGTGACGATATCCCGACCCGAGCTAGCCCCTCGACGATGATACCGTGACGCGATCCTGGAGCTCAGACTCATCCTATGACCCGGACTATTTCACCCCTTTGATAAACGAGCTCATAAGGACGCGATAGCCCTGTCACACGGAGAATCGACTGTGTCCGCGGGAATTCCACTGCGCCACCTCTAGCGACCCTAGGTGCTCTGATTTCCCTTCCCCCGACCACACCTACTACTTCACCCACCCGGGATTTGTTGTTATCACCACCAGTTTCCCTCCTTTCCGCCTTCTTCTCCCGTATCATCAACTCAGTGTCGTTCCGTGGCCGGCCATAGCCCCCTATTGGCCCAATACGTTTTGTGTGAATCACCGACGTCGCGGCGAACAGAGAACTCTGGAATTCCGAAGGCCCAATCCAAGTACGCGGCAGCCTACGCCACGTGGCGGCCCCCGACGGCCTAACCTTTCAGGACCACCTCCACTACGGAGGGATTTCCCCGTGAACCGTCGCCCTAAGTGTCCGGGCCCCATCGGGCCTTGAGTCCCTTGCACACGCACCCCTCATTCGCCTAATTGCAATCATACCCTTGAGACTCCCCCACTTTCCCAAAAATCCGTGGCACACCCCTTTTCGCACTTCCAGGCCCACACTCCACTCCGATCGGGAAGTCGCGCTGGGCGTGAGGTTGGTATCGGAGCCGAACACGTGGCTAGGGTCTTGGGATTGATAGCACGTTAATTAGGCGACCTGGCTAACCGTGGGCGACCTCGCCCTCGGAACCCGCATAGACGCGACCCTATCGTCACCAGAAGCAGATCGGCTAACCGGCGAGCAGCCAATATGGCTGCCAATGTGCAAAATCCGGTTCCGCAACAAAATACTAACCCACCCAATCAACCTGCCCCACGTGCACGAGCTCCCATATCGCCACCAGATCTCTATCTATTTGATCCAGCGCACCATCTCGCAGGAGCATGGCTGGCCACGCTTAGAGCACAGCAGTACGATGTTCACGAAGCACAGATCAACATTCCGGCCCGAATGGGAGAAGACGCCCATCATTGGTATAGTACCTATGTATGGGTGGATCTCCCGACCTTCGAACGAGATTTTATGAACCGATTTGATTATGTCCACCCTAAGCAAGCGTTGTACATGATCAAGGACCGAGTGCAAAAACCGCTCGAATCCATTGCGGAATATTGAAACCGGTTCTACAGAATGTTCGTAAAAACTGAGCGAGGTGAGCAAGTAGGGAGAGATTTGTTTATTGACGGACTCCGCAGCCGGACAATAAGGGCTAAGTTGCGAAAGCAGTTTACCCCCATCACCCATACGTTACAACAAATTATGGCTGCTGCGGAAGAAATGGAACGAAAGTTCGCGGCGAACTTCTTAGAAGGAGAAGACTACCCTAGAGACGGAGATTCGACAGAGCTCCCCCGCCTATCAGGGCCTTACCCCCGTCGCCGGTTGAGGCTCCTGTACGATCAAACGAATCGGCGACCATTTTCGAACTAACCAAAACCTTGATTAGTTTGATCCAAGAAAGCAAAAAGGAGCAACGAGAGCACAATGCTCGGCTGGAAGCTATGATGAGGAACATGCAACCCATTGCGGTGCATGCCCCTTTGATGCAGCAAGGATTAGCCCCAGCCCCTCCTCTCGGGGGAGCTGCGAACCATCTGAATGTCTGCTACGCCTGTCATCAGCCCGGACATTTAGCCCGTGATTGCCCCCACCGACCCCCACAACAGCGGATCGGAGCCGCACCTATGGCTGCGGCTCCCATCGCCAACGGACCTGGACGAGTCGGAGCCCTGATGGAAGAAATAGAGGGTGGGGGAAGTGCCCTGGCTACCTCGGAAGAGGCCGCCGAGCTAATCCCTCTAGACCAGTACGTATCACTAGGATATCCTGGGCTTGGAATGATCGGAACAATCCGACCAGCACCAGAACCGAAAGAGGTGGCGGAGTGGCGACCGTCCCTAGGAGAAATGGAGTCGGGAGGACCCACCTTCGTCACAGGGGAGATCGATGTATTAAACATCATCCGAGCTTTGGACCATCGGATTCCCCTTCCGATTGGTCATCTGCTCTCGATCTCCGAGCAAGCCAACGAGCGAATGTTACAACATTGCAAAGCGAACTGAAAGCGATTCGCCCTTGCCCGAACCCCGAACGAGAAAGCCAAAAGCCCCGCGCCCGAAGAAAACCCCGCAAGTACTTCGGATCCGATACGGGTAGGTTTAATCCAGAAAGATGATCATTTCCTGTGGATTAAACCAATTCCGTGGAAATCCGCTGAGTGCGATATAGAAATTTGGGGAATTCCTTACAATGCTATTATAGATTCGGGAGCAGCTGTGTTGGCTATCTCACTGAGAGTGGTTGAAAGGGCAGGTAGGAAAAACGACCTGATCACGCTTTCTAAGAAAGATCAGCTCGTTTCGACTGACGAAGAAAGAATTAAAACCGTGGGAAGAATGACCAATGTCGCTTTCCGATTGGGTAAAGTGCATGCGCTTGGGGATGTCGTAGTACTAGATGTCAATACGTACGACGTTCTCTTCAGACTTCCCGCTCTCGTGGCGTTACGAGCAAACCTGGACTTCGAACGACGATCGATCGTCCTCCGAAATACAGGAGGAAAACCCTACGCCGTGCCCATGCGATTGACCCTTCGCACTACTATTAACGTGGTTCCGCGGGTTTCGCTGATGATGGTAGGGACCCTCCGCATGATCTCCTGGGAGAAATCCGCAGAGGGAGAGTCATCAACAGATGATGCGGAAAGCAGTAACGAGGATGATCCGGAGATCTTGAAATTGGCACGACAATGTGTTTGTTACCCCCCGCCCAAAACGATAGCGAGAACGATGCAACTGACCAGCCGAAAAATTCAAAGGACCAAGGCGATGATCTTGGGTGAGCCCCCGTGCAAATTTCGAGGATGGTCGATTCTTTGGAACCCCCTCAAACTCTGTACGAAGGAATCACCCCTCTCCTCGCCCGGTACAACGACAAGAAGCCTTACTGTGACATTACGGATCTACCCAAGTCCTTATTAACCTCGGCTAAAGAAGTGAGATTGTTACGCTTGGGGGCGGAAGCAAGCTCTCTGGAACCCCTGGGCGTGTTGAAGCAGAAACAGACGGACTGAGGATAAAGATTGCAACTAAGGATGTGCCATGGCAGGATGTTTGTGACGAGATTACCCCGGAAGGACACGTGGCAATCCGAGAAGAAGATGCCTAGATGATGGCCACGGTGTTCTCCTGGCGATCGGATCATTCATTCATCTCGGCGCCTCCACCCGACTTGACAAAATAGACGAACACGAAACAGATTGACGTTCGGATCTGGGACCAACTTTTTAAACTGCACGTTCCACAATATGTGCCGGATGAAATCCACCAGGTAATTGCAGATATTCTAACGGAATATCAAGGAATGATTAGTGTGTCAGACACTGACATTGGGTTGTCATTAGTAATCCAACATGAAATTCAGACAGAAAATCACTCCCCAATTCATTGCAAACCTTATCACTATTCCTTGATTGAACGCAAAGAGGCTCTCGAACGAATTTGAGAGTTCGAAGCCAGCGGTTGGATTGAACCCGCTACTGGACCTTGGTCTTTTTCCGTAGTGTTAGTACCGAAGAAGAACGGAGCGATTCGCATTTGCATTGATTATCGCAAGCTGAATGAAATCACGATCAAGGATGTGTATCCCCTCCCCCGGATTGATGACCTGTTGGATGCGATTGGATGCGCTAATTATTCAGCAAATTTGATATTCGGCATGGCTTCCACCATATTCTGGTAAGGGAAGAAGATCGGCCGAAAACGGCCTTTGTGTTGTTTGAGGGCACGTGGTAGTGGGTTCGGTGTTTGATGGGGATTTGCAATGCGCCTGCCACATTTCAGCGAGCGATGAACATGACGTTCCACAACTTCATCAACAAGACACGGCTGACGCAAGGAATGATTAACTTCTGCGTGATTGTGTACATGGACGACATCCTGGTCTATTCGGAAACCTATCACGGGCACGCGCAACACATTGAATGGATATTGGGTGCATTGAGAGACGCTGGGTTCAAGATTGCGCTTGAGAAGAGTAAATTTTTCCTCTCGGAAGTTTCGTTCTTGGGCTGTGTCGTGACACGTGGAGGATTGCGGCGAGACTCGAGAAAAGTTGCGGCGGTAAAGGAAGCTCCGGTTCCCACGTCACTGACGTAGGTAAGAGCCTTCTTGGGACTAGCGTCGTACTACCGGCGCTTCATCAAGGGCTTTGCCGCGATTGCACGACCACTAACGAATCTGCTACGGAAGGACCAGCCTCTCAGCTGGGACGCGGAGTGCCAGCAGGCCTTTGCAACCCTCAAGGATGCTCTGGCAACTGCCCCTATTTTGATTCGACCGGACCCCTCGAAGCAGTTCATTCTCATCACGGACTGGCAACCAGAAGCTATTCCCGCTATTCTAGCACAGAAGGGGAACGATGGTCGCGAACTCGTCATGGAGTACACGTCACGAACCGTGTCGGACGAACGAAGAAACGACTCCGCACCTCAGGGTGAGTGTTACGCGGTAGTTTGGGGAATCCAACACTTCCATCCGTATCTCTACGGACAGAAGTTTCGCCTCGTAACGGATCACGAGCCTCTGCTGGCGCTGAAGAAACTCACCAACTACACGGGCATGATTGGCCGTTGGGCGGTGCGACTACAAGAATACGACTTTGATATCGTCCATCGAAAGACGGAGCGACACGGCAATGCGGACGGGCTGACACGTCTGCATCGACCTGCCAAGGTACTAAAGGGCGAGGAAATTACACCGTGGAAAGAGCCGGACCTGACTAACGAGCCGAAGTACGGACAAGTGGCAATTCTCCCACGTGGCAAGAAGCAAAACGGTGGCGATGGGTGATGGAGGTAACCCCACTACCCCTCTTTCTCCCCCGTCCTCATCGTCTTTTCCCTCCCTGCCTGACAAATTTTGCTATTTTTGAAAAGTTATCTCCCGTGTCTATTCGGTCTCCATGCGTCCTAACGGGGTGGGATATGCGGATTGGATAGATTGTCGACAGTGTGTTGCACGAGCCCATGGCTCGTGCATCCAATACAGGAACGATAGTAAACCGTGGTTGTGCCCCTTGTGCCGGACCGATAAAATTCCGACCGAGGGCCGAAGTATGGACGAATATTGCCTTAATTGCCACCCTAGTAGGTAACCCCCTCCAGGACTTCACCAAGGAAGATCGGAGGAGGGCCAACGAAAGAGCTCGGGATTATCGATGGATAGAAGGTAGATTAGAAAAACGGAAAACGGACGGTAGTGGGATTTGGAGGATAGTGCCGCATCCGTTCATGCGGTATGACTGGGTTAAGACAGCCCACGAGAAAACTGCGGCCCATTTTGCCGTACGAATCACGGAGTCCACTATCGACAAAAATGAGTGGTACTGGTCCAATATCCGCGACGATGTGAAGTACATTGTCGCCAACTGTCAAGTCTGCGCCGCTGATAAAGCGCCGATTCAGCCACCAAGGTCGATAGTGCCCACGATTGTTGAACGGCCATTTCAGAGAGTAAGCATGGACACTACCGACATAGTGGTGCCCCCTGGCCCTAATAGTTGCGAATATTCAGTCCTATTAGTATTTGTCGACCATTTCTCAAAACGGATCGAAGCGTATCCTTGTCGCACGCGGCAAGCCACGGAAATCGCGCGATACGTCAACCGTTTCCTCGGGATGCATCAGGATACGGAAGAGATCCTGACTGACAACGGGGCTGAATTCAGGGGAGAAGTGTTAAGGAATCTGGTCCTACATGGCGTCGCCATACGGAACACTGCACCCCACATGTCACAATCTAATGGGCTGGTCGAAAACGCTAACCGGGTGATAAAGACAGGGTTGCGACGAAACATCGCGGCACGGGATCCGAGACCCTGGCCCGATATCGTCGATCACATCCTGGCGGTCCATCGCGGAACGCCCCACGAATCGACAGGGCTGAGCCCCTTCCAATTAAGGACCAATAGTGTCGCTTGCGTTTCAACACCAAGCCTCCCGGATGAGTCTACATTGAACCGACGGCCCACCAGGGCCACGACTCGGGACAAGGCCAAACGACACCTAGAGTTAATGGAACGGTCGCTGCCCAGGCTAGCCCGAAAGCGACAGAAAATGACCGAACTAGCCCAGGGCCGACAGGTCCAGAGCTACGAGGCCCGAAATGGGAATGCGGGTCCGCGGCCCCAGTACAAATTAGGGGACGTGGTGCAGGTGAGGAAATGTGCTCGCCAGGGTAAGCTAGCACCACGATTCTTCGGGCGATATCGCGTGATCGAGCTCGGCCCCAACGGCGTGGACACCGTGCGTCTCGCCCCTGAAGTCTCTGGCAGTCGATCGACTCATCCGATCACACGCCACGTGTCCTATCTTCGCCTCCTTTCCTCTGATCTGTCTCCTCCTCCCTCGATCTCTCCTTCTAAGAAGGCCGGCGCCGACAGCTCTGACTCTCCGCCATCTCCCTCTCTTTCCTGCTCCCTCTCTGCCACCCCGTCACCCCCGCCATCGCCATGAGTTTTGCCATCGAGCGAGCTTTCAGTGATCAGTTGCTGATGCCACGGGGAGAGATCTCAGCCATCCGCCAAGTGCATCATCCGCGGATCAGCCCCGACTTCATGCGCCTTGCGCAGTTCTTCTGCACTGAGGGTGTATACGGTGCGACAAAGTTCCGATTCATGAGCGATCCCCAGGTAGTGGTGCTGGCTGAGGCAACGACGTTCCAACGGCGAGCGGCCCCGGGAATCAGCCACGTGTCTACCGTGGTAGTCTTCAGCGGCGACATCACTGCCTTCGATCCGGCGCGGCAAGCCGCCATCAAAAGCACCTTGTACCGGTGGGGTCGCGATCTGGCCACTGATTGGGATCGATGGCTCACAAGGCACGGTGACGAGTGCTATCCTGTCGACGACATCGAAGTCAACACGTTGCGCACGACGCTACGCGAGCCACCTGCCGTCCTCCCAGAAGTTGCTCCCTTCCAGCCGCGCGGATGAGCCGCTCGCCAATCTCGACATTCTCTCCTCCCTCTCTCTTCCCCATCTTCTGGCAGTCCTCTCACTACCCTCGTCTCTCCTTCCGTCTGGAGCCGCTGACAGTACCCATCGTTGATCCGGACCGTTGGAAGCTGTGGCGTGCAGAATTCGTCGAGCTCTCGTTTTGCCTGCTACGAGTGGATCTGAACTGCATGTGGGAAGGCAATCAGAGGCCCGCGTCGGAGATTGTGGAGTTGCTCGTCATTCAGGCGTGGAGAACCAACATGGCGGGAGATCTTCTGGGATTCGTCTTTGGAGCAGTGGATCGGGAAAACCGATCACAGACCGTGCGCGAACTCAGGATCGTGATCGCGCGATTGGCCGACGAACTCCCCCTCGACATCGTCTCTCAGAGCGACGAAGAACCCGTGCCACATACCCTCTCAAGGACTCTCGCCCCGAGCCTCCAGTGGTCGGCTTGTATCGAGGAGCGCTGGGCGGACGACCGTTTTCCCTCCCGTAGCGAGTACCTGGATGTCCACAGCCTGACTAATCCTCGCTTCTTTCGGCAACCAACGACGTTCGAGTGGGCGGCGCTGAGAGCAGAAGAGGAGGCCGAAGAGGAATCGGAAGGAGAATTGAGGAGAGAGGCCGGGGAAGCAGCGGCCCGATTGGCCGAGGACGAGGAAGAAGAGCGCGAAGCAGAAGAAGAGTCGGCGGAAGCTGAAGAAGAAGAAGAAGAAGAAGCAGCAGAAGAAGAAGAAGAAGAAGAGTCGGCGGAAGCTGAAGAAGAAGAAGAAGAAGAAGCAGAGGAGGAGACTTCGGAGGAAGAGGAAGAGGCCTATAGTGAGTACAGTGAGGGCGAGCAAAGTGAGGAGGAGGACGAAGACGATGAAGAAGTGGAAAGCGGGGACGACCCGGAGCCAACGCACGACGAGCTCGAGTGGGTGCCAGGACCGGATCGACGATTGGAAAACCCTGCGGCTGCTGCGCAGCGCAAGAAAGAGATCGTGGAAGGAAAGCGGTTGGCAATCAATCCCGCACCGAACGATCCTTTCAAGGATTCCGAGCCGCCCAAGCCGGAGTATGGAGACCTTGCTGCCACGACCTCAAGAGCCGCGATGACAAGGCGCCGACCCCGATCCCGATCCACGTCCCCCTCCGCCTCCACCCGTCCCCCAATTCGTCAACGTGTCAATGAGGGGCTTAGCCCTTCGTCCCCGATCCATATACCACCATCCCCTTAGCTATCTCTCTTTCAATCAGTATTTCCATCGCGTCGTCTACCCCCATAATCCCTTCCCCATGGCCACTTTCCGACATTTCTACTCCGCCCGCCTAGAACTGACTGTCCACCCCCACCCTTCCGTTCGGTGTGCTGTCTCCGATTACCCCCTCCACGTTCTACTCCTTAGCGCTGCGTGGCGAGGACGTAACCATATAGAGGTTTACTGCATCGTTACGGGGACCTTCCCCGCGTGCGAGGACCATGATCGGTTCCGCACAAACGTCCTCAGAACCCTCGTCTCCCTTTACCCAGACTACCTCGCTTCCCTTCCCCGCAGCGGCCAGTGATTCCCCCGCTTCCATCGCATTGTCCGTTTTCAAGAACTTCCCTACGACCTCACTGCGATCGGTCGCTTCATACTCGAGCTTATGATGGAGCCGCCCCGCCCTCCCTCATACGCGTATCGCCTTCCCTTCCCCCTTCCGATTAATTACTGATGCAGCGGTAATGGACGCGTGTCGCGGCGACGGCACGAGAAAGGTCCCGCCCTTAGATCATTGAGAGCCCAGTCTGAGGAACTGGTAGAAGAGCAGCGTTGCCACGTTGGATGACGTCCACACGCAATCGAACGGTAAGTGGCATAAAGGAAAGTGCTCCACGTGTTGATCGATTAGAGAAATCGACACGTGTCAACAAGCAAGCAGGAGCTTGCTAATATTGGAACCCCCTAGGCGTCACATATGTGACGAACCACTTTCTGTAACGCGCGATTTTCTGCTCGGTTGCAATCAGGGGTCCTAAGCTGGGAAGATTGGGCTAATTACGGGAGATCGGGATCGGTGGAGAATTGCATCAGTGTCCTCGCTTTTTCGTCCTTTTTCGTCGTTTCTTTTTCGAATGGTCGGGCACGGGGTCAGGTGTGTCTTGGGACGGCCGGTGGATTGATTGGTCGGATGGTTGTTTGGCACGACGTCACGCGCGCGCGATTAATAAATGTTGACGTCGTTTCTTTTGCTTCGGTTTCGATCTTTTGGGCACAGACATCGCATGGGAAATTGCTTCGTTCCTTTTTTAATTTCCTTTTGAATCTTTTTCGAATTTCGTCGAGCCCCCAATGGCTCTCGGAATTTTGGACTTTCCTTCTGGAATTTGTGCTTTTTGCTTTTTCGCAGTAGATAGGAATTTAGGAATTCAGTAATTAGGACTTTTTTTGCCGCGCGGCGCCTTTTGTTTACGCGCTTCTTCATGCGGCTGCAACGATACTCTGATTAGTGAGCGTCGTTAATCGTATGTGTAACTGTAATTTTAGGGGGGCGCAATTGTAACTGTATCTCTCTTCTTGCACTTCGTCTCTCCCGCCCTCCCTCTCTTTCATTTGCTAAAATTTTGTAAACTGTGGCTTGCATGCTCGGATCGATGCGTGGAGAAGGGTTACGTCCCCCACGCCACGGCCGATCATGCAGAACGCAGGTGTTCCCTCTCTAATCCTCACTCTAAGTCCTAGTAATTCCGTGTTCTTCGCGCATGCATGCACGCTATAAATTTCGGCTGCGCGATTAGTCAGCTCTCTTAACCCGTCGTTGGAAGCTCGGGGTTGCGCGATCAGGAAGGGTCGGCACACGAGCAAAGTAAGAGGTGAGTAGAGTAGGAKTTGGGCGACCCGACGGKCTGGTGCCGAACGCACGGGATTGACGTGGGCCTCGACRGACTGTGGGCACGGGCGAATCCGACGGGTGCGGGAGGACTAAGCGGGGTGACAACTTCGTGGGTTGGTGCGCGACGACGGACTGTCCGCATCAGAGAGAGAGAGAGAGAGAAGGAGAGAGTTGAGGTCGATGAACACGGATTTGCTGTTTTTTTGTCCCTTCCCCCTCTCTATCTGTGTACATACATTTTGATTGCGGCTCCGGGCGGTTTGCCCGTTCTTATTTTCGTTTCGGCTTCCTGAAACCTAGGCTTGGGGTCTTGCTCGCTCTTGTCCTGCTATGTCCATCCCGATTGCATTATGTGTATGATTATCAAATGTATGGATGTGTGGACGTTATGCCTGCTTGTCTATCTTTTTGCTGAGAATCCCTGTCCTTGCCTTTTGTTGGTATCAAAACTTCGCCCACACCTGATGCAACTGTAGATGGGGTGAGAATCTGGCCCCGATAACGATTTTGCTCTCGTTTTTGCTTATCCCGCGATGGGGGTTGCGATATGATTGCATCTTGCATAATCGACGATCCGAAGTCTGGTCCCGTGAACGCCGCGCGAGAACACGTGTAAACGCGATCCGAGTTGCGCCCTTACACGCGTTCCCGTGCGTCGATTCGCTCACCCGAAAAGGATTCACGTCGGAACCGTCATCCCGTACGAGCACGCTGAGGCGCCACTGAGTCTGTCTGCCCTACAAGTACTCGTGCGTGGTGACGATATCCCGACCCGAGCTAGCCCCTCGACGATGATACCGTGACGCGATCCTGGAGCTCAGACTCATCCTATGACCCGGACTATTTCACCCCTTTGATAAACGAGCTCATAAGGACGCGATAGCCCTGTCACACGGAGAATCGACTGTGTCCGCGGGAATTCCACTGCGCCACCTCTAGCGACCCTAGGTGCTCTGATTTCCCTTCCCCCGACCACACCTACTACTTCACCCACCCGGGATTTGTTGTTATCACCACCAGTTTCCCTCCTTTCCGCCTTCTTCTCCCGTATCATCAACTCAGTGTCGTTCCGTGGCCGGCCATAGCCCCCTATTGGCCCAATACGTTTTGTGTGAATTGCCAACGTCACGGCGAACAGAGAACTCTGGAATTCCGAAGGCCCAATCCCAGTACGCAATGGCCTGCGCCACGTGGCGGCCCCCGACGGCCTAACCTTTCAGGACCACCTACACTAGGGAGGGATTTCCCCGTGAACCGTCGCCCACAGTGCCCGGGCCCCATCGGGCCTTGAGTCCCTTGCACACGCACCCCTCATTCGCCTAATTGCAATCATACCCTTGAGACTCCCTACTTTCCCAAAAATCCTTGGCACACCCCTTTTCGCACTTCCAGGCCCACACTCCACGCCGATCAGGAAGTCGCACTGGGCGTGAGGTTGGGCGTCACACCACAGCAGTGGTGCGAGAGCAGGGCTTGTATCAGCCCTTCATTACGATGATGCGGGGTGATCAGGAATTGCCGACTGGGGAACCGGCGATGCTAGTGCCGAGCATCTTTGGCCAGTCACTTGCACCTCCCCCTACCCCCCTCCAACCCCACATTAGCGGTGTCTAATGGCCAATATCATTGCTGCATAGCAACCAACAATATTTGGCCAAGGTTCTGCCAATGCTGGCTTGGAGAGCCAACGGGTTATCTCTAGCAGCCGATGCATTTTATTTTATTTTTAATTTGTTTAAGCCCAGGTTGTTTTTTTTTTCCCCCCCCTGAAGAATCAGCCCGAGCGACTGCTAGGGGTAGAGGCTGGATTCTAGACATATGAGAGTCACCTTCGGCACTCAGCCATGTGGTAGAGGCCCCCTAATCCTATGGGACTCCCTCCCAACCTACCTCTTTCGTAATTTCTCCTGGCGCACACCTACTCCCACTATCCTACCTCAGTGTCTACCACTCAGGATAGTCACCCTCCAGTGTGGGGGTGACCTGACCGAACAGTGGTTGTAGGTACCAGGGCTAAGCTGAGTCCCACACACCCTACTCAGCCCCGATCGAAGCATATTTGAGCGAGCCTTGTCGCCCGGGTACTTCAGGTGCTAGGTACAGACGTTCACTACAAGTCCCATAGGTGGACCTATTGTGCGTTCCTATCGTTGTGTACACAGCTGTAGTTACTGTTGTTTGTTGTCAGGTTGTTCGTTGTGCACACTGTTGTCATTACTACTTGTTTGTTTAAGTGAACCGGAGGCAGGCAAGCCAGTTGATGAGGCTCAGTGGTTAGAGCACGGGTTGGAAATGCGCATTGTTGTATGAGGTTGCGGGTTGCAGCCTCGTGCATGGACACTGGCAGGGCATTAGAATGACGCACGGCTGGACACACCCCCCCTTAGGCTGACGCAGGTAAGCTATTACAGACACTGCCTGCGAGGGTTAGTCTGGGTTGTTATATATCGGATTCTACCTACGTGAGTTTACTTGAGGACATTGGCTACTGGTTGCTCTGATGATCTCCCCCATCATCCGTCATACATGGTATGTAGGTTATCCTAGTTACATACTACAGGTCATAGGTTTGAGTCTGGCATAGCTGTTATACAGACATGCTCATAGTGTCACATGGTTCTCAGTACCTACACTAAACGGGCCCAGTGCCCAAGGCTGATATTATCAATAAGATGATTGAGGCCGGGGTCCTCACAGTCTACCCGGAATAACCGAACCCAGCTTGCTGAGAACCGGGCTCAGCGTCCCACCTCTGCCTACGGGCGCACCTATACACCGTCTTAGGGCGTACACCCTTATAGGCATATTGCACAAGCCTACAGTCACTGATACACTGCTTACACGTACACATATGTTACAACACAGACACTGACGTATCAGCAGAGTTAGGTGGGGGAGACCGATCTCTGTCATGGGTTCATCATAGGGTTCAGATCCAGGCTACGGGTAGTCTGCTCCGGTCTGTGCGAATACCGTACACCCGTATGGGCAAATTGCACAAGCCTACAGTCACTGATACACTGTTTACACATACACATATGTTACAACACAGAGTGACGTATCAGTAGAGTTAGGTCGGGGGGACCGATCTCTGTCATGGGTTCGTCATGGGGTTCAGATCCAGGCTATGGGGAGTCTGCTCCGGTCTGTGCAAATACTTGGCCGCGATTCGGTTTGTCGGTATGGACTGATAGTGATACTGATTGTGCCTGATGTCTTACGCTTCCACTGGGGCTGGGTGGGGTAGTTGTCCAGTCCAGGTGCCTATACTGTTCGGTCTACGTCGCCCTCTGAGGAGTAGGGTGATTGTCCTGAGTGCTTGTACCACTGAGGTAGGATAGTAGGCATAAGGAATGCGTTAGGAGAATTGAAGTGAGGTAGGGTAGGGAGGTAG